TCTGGCGTAGGATCATCGTCGTCCCTAGGACATACGGAGAAAGCCCCATCGTCACTCCAAGCCTGTCAACAACAAAGACGAACACCCCGCTTCCATCCTCATCCCTCTCCATCCATCCACCCATCCACCCATCTATCCTTTGTCCCTCTAACATGCGCCCCCGCCTCTAAGGAAAACAAGCACTCAACACTCCTCGACGTAAAAAGAAAAAGAGAAACGCACAAAGAACGTAATACTCCCAGACGAGCCCTCAAAAACCCACCAACACCCAGAACCCCAACCCGTAATCCCTCGCCCCAGAACACAAGAGAGAGAGAGAGATCGCAGCCTCGAAGTTTCCCGTCCCGACACACAGCCCCAAGCACCACCACCACCACCACCACCGCCGCAGCCCAAGCAGCCCAAGCAGCCATGGTCTCAACCCGCACCCAAGACGGCACGATCAACACCAAGACCTACTCCCCGCAGACCCTCTCCCTCAACACCCTCCACTCCCCGACCTCTTCTCTGGCCTCCTCCTCCTCCCCTTCTTCCTCTTCCTTTTCTCACCCCTCCACCCACACCACCCTCCTCCCGCTCTCCCCCCTGCGCCGCCCTCTAGGCCGCCGTCTCCAGCAGCAGCAGCAGCAGCAGCAGCAGCAGCAACGCGCCAACACCAACACCAACGCCAACAGCAACGCCAACGCCGAAGCGCCGCTGTACGACGCGGCAGCAGGAGAAGAAGGAGGTCGTCAGGGCACGCAGTCCAAAAAGGCCAAGGCCATTAACGTATTATTGGAAGAAGAAGAAGAAGAAGCAGAAGAAGAAGAAGAAGAAGAAGAAGAAGAAGAAGAGCAAGGACGAGGAGGCTGGCCGGACCCGGAACTGGACATGGGACTGGACATGTCAGCTCAGCCGTGCACGCGCGCACGCGCACCCGTCGTCCGTCGGTAGAGAAGAAGATGAGGAGAGAGCATAAGCTGTCGGGAGGAGAAGGAGAAGGAGAAGGAGAAGAAGGGAAAGTTAGCTAGCTAGTTAGCTAGCTAGACGAGATTGAAAAGGATGCTTCAGATTCAATGCAAATTAATCCAATCCAATCAAATCTAACCCAATCAAATCAAATAAAATCCACTTCACTCCAACCGCAATCCAACCCAACCCAACCCAACTCAACTCAACAGGTACAAAATGTCCGAGAAAAAAAAATCCCCCCCCATAAAAAAAAAAAAAAAACTAAATAAAAAATAAAAATAAACTAATAAAACAAATAAAAAAACAAAAAACTAAAAAAAACTAAAAAA